TCTTTCCCTATTTCAAGCTTATGAAGGTCTGAGCGGCCAGCGAGTCAACCTTCAAAAGTCAGCAGTTTTGTTTAGTCGCAATATGAACCCGGACCTAGCTGAGCTTCTAGGAGGTCAATTAGGTGTGGGTAGCATTGGAGAACAAGATTATTACTTGGGACTTCCATCAATTATCTCTAGATCAAAGAGAGAAGCCTTCCAATTCATAGAAGAGAAGCTCATTAAAAAACTCCAAGGATGGAAACAAAGAACTCTGTCTAAAGGTGGGAAAGACATTTTAATTAGATCGGCGACTACCAATTTACCAGTACATGGTTTGTCGTGCTTCAAGATTCCTAAAGAGAATTGCAAAAGACTAAATAGTCATGTGGCTAGATTCTGGTGGGGATCAGCGGATAATGTTGATCGTCCTATACATTGGGTGTCTTGGAAAAGCTTGGCTCATAGTAAGTTTCACGGAGGCCTAGGATTCAGAGACTTTGGGGCCTTAAATCAAGCCTTGTTAGCTAAGCAATGTTGGCGAAAAATCCAAATTCTCTCTTGGCAGCCATTTATAAGGGACGGTACTTCCAAAACGGGTCTGTGTTGGATGCGAATCTAGGTTCCAAACCTTCATGGGGATGGCGTGGTATACTATTTGGAAGGGATCTCCTTTTACAAGGATTAAGGTGGCAAGTTGGAGATGGGCAAGATATTGATGCCTTCAAAGATAAGTGGGTTATTACAGAAAAACCCATCTCTCCTTTAGTCTGTCTCTCGAACATAACTAATTCCCCGAGAGTTTCCTTTTTCATTAAGGATAATAGAGGTGAGTGGCATGTCCCAAGATTACATTATTGCTTTGAACCTTCAATGGTTAACCTTATCTGTAAAATCCCACTCCCTAGATGCCATCAAAGAGATATGAGAGTCTGGCATTTTACAAAAAATGGTCTTTATACAGTCAAAACGGGGTATCATCTAGCTCTTGACATCTCATTATCCACTAGCCGAAAGCCTCTGGTCCATATCATTGATCCTCCTATCTGGAAGAAAACCTGGGATATCCCAACTCCTCCAAAGCTGAAATTCTTTATCTGGCAGTGTCTTAGAGTGATACTTCCAACAGTAGTTGCACTCAAATCTAGAGGAGTTAATTGTCAGGTCTGTTGCCCTGTGTGTTGGAGAAGACCAGAAAGTATTGAACATCTGTTCTTTAAATGCCCCCTGGCCACAAGATTGTGGTCGCATATGGGATTAAATGATTTCATCTCCTCGGCCCCGACTGTGAATTTCAGTCTCTGGTGGCGACATGTTATGCTTTCCGAGCACCCCCAAACCCATATCCTCTTGTTTGTTTGTGTTCTTTGGAGGATCTGGAAGTCTAGAAATAAGGTGGTCTTTGAACATGTCCAACCTCTTGCCCAGTCTCCCGCTCGTCAGTGTTTTTTCCAATTTCAAGAACTGTCTTCCTCCCTCCCTTTGGTCCCTGCTCCCCCGCTCCAGCCGTCCCTTTCTCGCCGCTCTCCCTGGTCCCCTCCTCCAGATGGCGCCCTGAAGATCAACTTTGATGCTGCTGTTCGCTCCTCTGGTTGCTCGTCTGGTCTAGTGGTGCGAGGTTCAGACGGGCGTGTGGAGCTGGCTGTAGGTGCTCTTCACCCTGGTATTGCTGATCCCTACCTTGCAGAGCTCCTTGCTGCTAGAGCCGCCATTTTCCTTGTGGTCTCCAAATCACTATCCCGGGTCATCATTGAAGGTGATTCAGAGGTGGTGATTAATCAGCTGCGTCGAGGTGTATTATCAGATTCCATTGGAGGACCGGTGCTTCGGGATTGCTTTATTCTCTTATCGTCTCTGTCTGTTTCGGTAGAGTTTAGGGCAGTCCCCCGGACTGCGAACAGGGCTGCCCATAGAGTGGCGCAGAAAGCCCTGTTTCTCTCCCCTTTAGAGTTGGTCTCCTTTGACTTTGTGGATTGGCTTCACTTTTGTATGGGTTGGGCAGGGTTGGGGTAGTATGTATAGGTTCTCTCTTGACATTTCTTGGAAAAAAAAAAAACATATTCATTCACTTCAACTTATTTTTTCTTGCCAAGCCTCAAGCTCTTGTCTGATCAAGCAATAAGCTTTTGATTAAAGCCAAGAGTAAATCAGTGCTCAAACTTCCAAAAACAGTCTCACCAATCGAAACCATGATCTGCAAAAAACCATTTAGCAAAATTAGACAGAGGAAAGAAGTAATCTAAAGATGGAAGGAGCAAGATAGTAAATAAAAATAACTATTGTTACCTGGGAATCCCCAATCGCCGGCTGGAAGGGGAGGTCGCGTCCCGGAGGTGGAGCTGCTTCTCGTCGGGGTTGCTTTTTGTCACCGCTGCTTCACTTCTTGGACCATGGGCTGGTGGTTTCTGTAAGTAGAGGAAGATGATGGGCTGGTGGTGGTCTCGGGGTAGAAGGAGAGTGACGATCCGCGCGGCTGCTGGAGGGAGAGGGAGATGGCGGTCGCTGGTGTTATGGGAGGTGAGGTCGAGCCAGAAGTCGTCTGGGCTAAAATGACCGCGTGTAGGAGCAGCGGAGGAAAAGGAGGGAAAAAATGTAGCTGCGGGGAATCGAAAGCCCGACCTCATTAATGAACAGTGTGCATAATCCGCTGGGCAACGGGGAATAACCCGCCCTCTTATTTCCAGGAAACGGCTATTTGTTGTTTCCTCACCGCTTTCTCATTTACAATAATTGATTTATTCCACGAAAACAAAATTGACAAGTGAACACAATTATTGTCAATTCTTTCCTTATTTTCATTTTTTAAACAGAAAACAGAAAATGAAATGGGAAGTGAACAGTGTATTAATCTTTGTCGGACGATTTCTCACTCGTTTTAAGTTGAAATTTAATTTACATATTTACTTTTTAAAAGGGTTAATACCTTATTTTGGCCCGAACTATGACCATATAATCAACTTTGGTCTGTGGTTTGAGAAATTAACATCCTGACCCGAACTATGCTTCATATAATCTAATTTGGCCATAGTCGTGTTTTGACTGTCAATTTAGTTTATTAAATACGAGTATTAAACATGTTATACAAATTTTATACGTGTTTAGTACGTGAGTCATCAAACAAACTAGAAAAAATAAAATAGATTGCTATAAAAAATAAAATTTTAAATATATAAAATACGTACACACGTAATAAACAGATTATTTAGTAATTATTACCTAACACATTTAGGTAAAAGGAATCCATCATATTCGATTTCTTACCATAGGTTCCATAGTCGTAAGCATGGTCCAAAAAAGCATACTTAACCTTATACTTAGAACGCCTAGGCGCAAGGCAATGACAAAAAGCCTCATCTAGGGGTTTCACGCTTAGTTAGATACTGGAACACGTCAATAGAGTAAGTCGACATCTAAGGCTTTCCTAAACATAACTAGATGGAGCTACGAAGTCAATATTAAAGAAGGAAATTCATGTCAACTACGAAATCAATTTTCTATATAAGTATTTTCAATAGCTCAAAAACTTTGTGAGCTATTGAGCTATGATTCTATGAATTCGTGAGCTATGTTATTGTGATTAAGCGTTGAGTAAGTTACTTATCATTTTAACTGAAGTGAAGAAGTGTTGACTGTTGTAGGTTATTATTTCATTCATAATGCACTGAGAATACCTATTTTTTTCCAACGCCTAGACAGGCTTAATCTACGCCTAAGCAAGCTAGGCGGTAGGCAAAGGCTCAACACCCACCTGACGCCTAGCGCCTTCTTTGAACCTTGGTCGTAGGTCGTACCTCATACGGGCTCAAATGATGTTTTTAATATTGATGGGACTAAAACGTAATTATACGTTCTTTCCCTTTTTCAGATTTGCTTCAGTCAGTGCTTTGATTCCACGTTGTCTGCGTACTCCAGCGGCAAAAACAAAGAAGAGAGTAAAGCCAGGCTGCCAGCCCAAAAGTCCGTTCCGACATACCAAATGTCTTCCGATCCCGATAAGCTCGTCGCTAAGGCCGATAAGCTGTGAGGCTCCTCTCTCTGTGCGTATATTCTAGGATTCAATCTGTTTGTATCGCTACTGATCCTCGAGCATTCGGATCATCGATTAGAATCTTAATGCATATCTGCAAATGGGTTCAAGCTTTTCGCGATTCTCATTAGCTAGGGAGGAAACCTATTCCCACCACTTCATTCTAATTTCCCGTTTTAGCAGTAGGCAACTGAAGCAAAATTCCAGCGGCAGTTTTTGAAATTTATCGACTTTCAATTTCAGATTTCCGGTGTCTTAACTGTTGGTAACTTTGTTGTTTCACTAGAACAAAGCTGACCCTTACAAGGTGGAGTGCTGATTGGAGAAACGCCACTCTTAACTACGAGCAAGCCGGTTAGTGATCGCTGCTGCTGCTTCTGTCTCTTTACTAGTTTTTTTTTTTTTTTTGCTCCATAATGCCCTGCTTATTGAACCTATGCTGAACAATTTGTTGACAAAGGAAAGGGATTTCTTTGGTGGCCTGACATGAGAATTGCATTGCTAATGAATTGATTGAAGACGATTTGGACGATGAAGTTCCGGAGGATGATGATCCCAATTGCCCCATGATTTTATTTACGGCGATGGAAAAACAAAGATGGAGGCGCAAATGGCGATCTGCCCTAATTGTTACTGTTTTCTTACGTACGTTCCCGTATCCAGTTATTACGCGCAGGTTGGTAACCCTCTGTGCAAAATGTGGAGTGCTACAGGTCTCGAGCCTCTCTTTCGGGTTTATGCGGTCAGATTCTCGGGCTAGTTCGACTACGAGCAAGCGGCCATATGTGGCCCCTGGATGATCGGGGATCATTATATAACTGTGATACCTTGGCGACGTAATTTTAATCCAAAATTTGCAAGGTGGCCTCGACTATGGTTTGGGCACGGCTGCCGGGACTTCCGAGTGAATTTGTTAACAAAGAAGTTGTTAAACGCATAGCGGCAAAGATTGGTCGACCAGTACGAGTTGATCTGGCAACACAATTAGGTGATCATGGCGATTGTGCAAGGGTTTGGGTTGAGGTGGACCTCACTAAGCCTCTGCTCTCACAGTATAAGATTGAAGGGATCGCCTATTATATTGAATTCGAAGGTCTCCACCGGATATGCTCAGAGTGGGAAGTATGGTCATTCGAAAATGGCTTGTCCTAAGCTGGCACCGAAAACAGGAGTAGAGGTCCCACCAACCTCCCCACCTGAGGAACCAGTGCCACAGAGACCCCTCTATGGGGAATGGATGGTGGTGAAGCCCAGAGGAAGGAACGTGACTAGGCAGCAACATTTTGTTACAAACCAGGCAACGAACCAGTAGCCGCGAAAGCCCCCCCCCCCCCCCCCCCGCCGCAGAACCAAATGTACAGGAGTCGGCCTCACGCTTTAGTGCTATAGTAGAGGAGGAGGTGGAACTGGACCAGACTGAGACTGAGGTAAACGTGACAATACAAGAACATCACAATCAAGCACACCATGTGCCTGACAAGCAGATAGAGAAGAAGGGGACCCCAGACCCGCAAGGTGCAGCAAGGGTGACGCAGAAGGAAACAACTCACGAATCCTCAGCTGGGGTGGGGAATGGTAGAGCAGTACCTAGTGGGAATTCGAGGCCAATGATGGGATCACTTATGGAAGGAAAATCGGGTGTAACTTCACAGCAGTCAAAGAAGGAAACAATTAATAAAGCAAGCTCGATGGGGAAGGTGACTACAGAGAAAGGGAAAGGTCAGCTTAAGCAGCTGGAGGTTGGTTACAAAACAAACGGGCAACAACTGTCAGGTAACAGGAAAAGAACTGGGCCGACAACTAACTTATCTAATGGTGCGGGGAACCTATTCCCTTCAGGTGTCCAATGAGGATCCTCTCATACAACTGTCGCGGACTGGGGAATAAGCGGGCAGTTAGTTCCTTGCGAGCGCTCTTGCGGTGCTCTTCCCCCCATGTGGTTTTCCTCATGGAAACGAAGCAAACTGTAGCTGAAAACGTTGAGTTGAGGAAGTCATGTGGATTCGCTAAGGGTGAGTGTTGGCCAGCCACTATTTCGACAAGGAACAGAGCTGGTGGTGTTAGTATCTGGTGGGGGGAGGAGTTAACTATTACTTGCATGGATATCTCGAACAACTATGTGGATATTGCTATGGAGGAAGAGCTGGAGGGGAGATGGCGATTCACTGGGATTTATGGATGGTCAAATAGTGGTGAGAAATGGATGACGTGGGATCTTCTAGAAAGACTTAGACAACAGTGGGATGGGCCCTGGTTGTGTGGCGGGGACTTTAACCAAGTCTTGAAATCTGATGAAAAGAGTGGAGGGAGATGTGCTCAAGAGTCGGAGATGAGTCGTTTTGGGAAATGTCTGGTTGATACGGGACTTGAGGACTTGGGTTTCCATGGGTATCCATATACTTGGGAGAACCGACATATTAGAGGCGGTTTCATCGAAGAAAGGTTAGACCGCTTTGTGGCAAATGAAAAATGGAGACATTTATTTCCACATAATGTCGTTCAGCACTGGGACCAGGCGAATTCAGACCATCGTCCTATTACATGTGATACGCGCGGATTAGAGGATGGTGAAGTAAAGTGGGGGCAGTCTTTCCGCTTTGAACCGCTTTGGGCGAAGTATGATGATTGTATGAAAACAATAGAGATGGTGTGGGGTGGCTCTGGAAACTGCGATGTGACTTCAAAGCTCACGAATTGTCGAACTCAACTAGAGAAGTGGAGTGAGCGGACTTTCCCGCCATTCGCGAAACAGAAGGTGCGTATAACCCGTGCTTTGTGCGCCCTGGAGTGGAGACCAAAGACCGAAGAAGTCTTCATCCAATGCCGTCTTTTGGAAAGCGAAATTGGTGATGTACTGGATAATGAAGAACAGTATTGGAAAAAGAGATCTCGGGCTGATTGGCTCCAGGGGGTGATAAAAAATACTAATTTCTTTCACCGTAAAGCGTCTGTGAGGAGAAGGAGGAACACAATAAGGAGAATCAAGAACGAAGCAGGGGGATGGTGTGTGGGCCGGGAGGAAGTGTCGGACTGTATGGTAGAGTACTATAGTGGCCTATTCATGTCTGGGGAGACGCCGGAGGACTGGCCAGTCCTCGACTCTGTTTCCCGTAAGGTCTGTGACGAAGATAATGCTTGCCTTCTCAAGTCGTTCAGTCGGGAGGAAATTTTTGGAGCTTTGAAGCAGATGGGAAGCGTAAAGCCCCAGGAGCGGATGATTTCACTGTTTTCTTTTTCCGCAGGTATTGGCATGTGATTGGAGAGGAGGTTTGAGGGCAGTGCTGGAGATCCTTGAGACGGGGGTGATGCAGGCAAACCTCAACCACACTCTCATCGCCCTGATTCCAAAGACGAAGAAACCCACTTCCCCGAAGGAGTTTCGTCCCATCAGCTTGTGCAATGTTCTGTACAAGATCGCTTCTAAAGTGCTGGCCAACCGGTTGAAGCCGCTCCTTGATAAGATCATATCACCTCAGCAGAGCGCTTTTTTCCTCGGGAGGTTCATAACTGGTAATGTCATGGCGGCTTTTGAATGTTTTCATACAATGAAGAATAGCAAACATTGGAAGCATGGTTATTTTGCGGCTAAAATTGATATGGCGAAAGCCTATGACCAGGTGGAATGGAAGTTCCTGGAAGGGATGATGCGAAGGCTGAGGTTTGCGGAGGGCTGGATCAAGCTCGTTATGATGGGGGTGACGACTGTCTCGTACTCTGTGCTAGTGAATGGACATAGATCTCGTTCGTTCGTTCCTAGCAGGGGGTTACGACAGGGCGACCCATTGTCACCTTATCTTTTCCTGCTCTATGCGGAAGGATTATCGGCCTATGTAACGAAAGACATGAACGAGGGCCGGTTACATGGCCTGCAGGTGACTAGGGGAGCCTCGGTGATTACGCATATTTTTTTTTTGCTGACAACGGTATCTTTTTTGCTAGGGCAACCCAACAGGAGAGTCTAGAGCTGAGAAATATCCTTCAAGCGTACGTTAGAGAGTTGGGGCAACTTGTGAATTACTAGAAGTCAGAATTCTCCTTCGCTGTGAACGTCAAGCCGCATCACAGACTCATTGTGTGGGGCACGCTGGGAATGCAGATTGTGGAAAAGCAAGATAAATATCTGGGACTGGTTACTGAGGTTGGGCGATCCAAAAAAGAGCTTTTTGTGGGGCTGAAAGAACGGGTGAGGAAAAATTGAAGGGTGGAAGGAAAGAACCATGTCTGTTGCGGCTCGTGAGACCCTTATCAAATCCGTGGCCCAGGCACAGCTAAGTTATGCAATGTCGGTATTCAAAATCCCAAAGGGTATCCTAGACGAAATCCACAGCTTAATCACCAACTTTTGGTGGGGTCAGAAACAAAGTGAACGTCGATCGCATTGGCTACGGCGGGAAGAACTTGTCATTTCGAAGGAGGATGGGGGTATGGGCTTTCGCGACATTAAAGGCTTTAACATGGCACTGCTGGCAAAGCAGTTGTGGTCCTTAAGCCAGAGACCATCGTCCCTGATATCAAAGCTATTTCAAGCTAAGTACCATAAGCATTGCTCTATTTTGGAAGCTAATGTTGGCCCCCGACAGAGCTATATTTGGGGCAACTTGATGGGTTCCCAGGAGTTCTTATGCCGAAGGCTATGATGGAGGATTGGTAATGGATCAAGGGTGAGAATATGGGGCGATAAGTGGCTGCCGACAGGGGAGCATTCTTTCATTTCGTCGGCGCCAATGGGTCTTCCTGTGGATTCCTTTGTATGCGACCTTATCGACCCAAACACAAACCAGTGGGATACGGAGATTATCAGTCAATGCTTCCCGAATGCGATTGCGCAGACGATTTCGTCTATTCCGCTACGGGGACGCGAAGAGCAGGACCAGTTGATTTGGCATTCTAGCTCTAGTGTTATCTACAGTGTCCGTGACGGGTACCGCAGGTGGCCGGATGAGTTTAAGGTGAAGGAGCATATAGCTCAGTATGGGACTGTGGAACTTTGGCAGACGATTTGGAAACTTAATGTCCCACCGAAAGTCAGAACGTTTCTTTGGAAATTTTCTAGGGAAATTCTCCCAACAGGGGTTAAGGTCAATGCTAAAAACGAGAGATGGAGTGATGCATGCCCGTTTTGCGACCAGCCAGAAACCCAAAAACACTTTTTCGAGAATGTGCGTAGAGTAGCAAGATTTGGCGTACATCCTCCTTCAGAGAATGTTTTGAAATACAAGGGGTGGAAGACTGCTTGGAATGGGTATCTAAAGTTATGCGTGAGAAGGAAACGAAGAGTTTTGAAGGTTGGGCGATGCTTTTATGGGCATTGTGGAAGAAAGGAATGCACAACAATTCAATGGCACAAAATGGCGGGAAGATGAAATCGTGTTGCAGTCCGGACAGCTGCTTGAAGAGTACCAGTTGCATCTGCGGAGGAACGAGACGGAAGAGATGCAAGTTGAGCTAACAAAGTGGAGAAGGCCACCGGAAGGCTGGACGAAGGTCAACACGGACGCATGGATGCTGGCAGGAGGAGGAGTTGGCCTGGGTGCGGTAATTCGTGACTCTAGCGGAAGATTTATTGCGGTGGCGGTGAAGAAAGTCCGAGGGAATCATTGTGTGGATCTTGCAGAGGCGCTTGCGCCAGAATTTGGGATTCAGCTCGCTAATCGGCTTGGATGTGTTCGGATTTCCCTTGAAGTTGATTCTTTAAATCTTGTGCGCCATTTGCAGAAGGAGGATGAGGCCATCTCCGAGCTAGGAGTCATTTGTCGAAGTATTTTGCAGAAATTGAAACAGCCAGGTGGCTCGGGAGGGATTATTAGCCATGTTCGGCGGGAAACGAATAATGCGGCACATATCATGGCTCATAGTGAGTCTAGATGGGATATGCGAGAAGTTTGGTTAGATAGAGCACCAATCTTTCTCTTGGACCAGCTTCGACTGGATGATGTAACTATTGAGCTGATTTAATACATCTTACCAGGTTACCCCTCAAAAAATATCTTTTTATTTACTCAAACCTCTATTATTAATTGTTTTCATGATTTGTCAAATCACTGGTTTGGGTAAAAGCAAGGTTGTTGAACAACAATCGTTCATACTGTTCTGCCGGTTTAGCAAATGAAATGGTACGATCAGTGAAATAATCATTTTGTGTCGTTTGATGGTTTAATAAAATAAGATATTCTAAATAAAATAACAAAAAACTGGGGAGTTCTACGGTACCATGGGTTAAATCCGGGGTACCGCATACCTTAAGTAAGAAAACGCTATCTAGAACTTGAATGGACTAATCTTTCAGACATGATACTATACTCTAACCCTTAA